CCCCATGGGGGGCCCCGCGGGGGGGCACAGCAGGCTCAGCCTGACCCCAAGTTTGGGGGTCAGCTACCATGGGACACCTTGTCTCCATCATCTTTCAGTCACAAGGGCAATGAGGGCAGCTCGTTGGTCATTACTTTATCCTGATATTATACTTTGATTCCTTTTGCCACAAGGATGTGGCCTTGGGCAGCAGCAGGATGGAGGGTGCTCTAAGCTGTTCCCTCTGGCACGGAGGAGCTGGGAGGTTTCTGTCTGTTTCCCTTGTGAAGTGCAGCATGGAGGGCTGGCATGGCTTCTTCCCACTCCAGACCCATCAGGGTAGGTCAGCAGGCATTAAGGGTAGATAATTTCCCACCCTGGTCTATTTTGTGGTCTCTTGGGTTGCTGGGTTGTCCTGTGGGGTCCCTAAGGCTGCATTGTGAGTGTCACCCTGTCCCTCTGGGCTCTCCCCAAGCTGACTGGTGATAGCCAGGGGTCATGGGCCCCTTTCCTGGGATGCTGGGCTGGGTGCCACATCATGGAGCTGGCGGTGGCTGGTGCTGGAGACATTCCTGGAGCATGTCTCAACTGGCCTCTGTGGCAGACAAGGTTCCCCCTCCAGGCTCTGGCCAGCTCCTCCACTCCTCTCCTGCCTCGGCATTAGCCCGGTGCTGCTCCCCTCCCCAGTGTAAAAGTGCTGGGAGAGGTGGCTTCTCCCTCCCAGCAGCCCCAGAGCTGTCCCATGCATCCCCACGGGTTGGGAAGGCTTATGTCGTGCTGGAGTGAGGAGCTCTGCAGGGCCACAGCAGGGCCAGAAAAATAAAATCCTGTAAGGGTTGTGCTGAATCCCAGCCCACGTCAGATCAGAACCAGAGGCAGCAGCTGCAGAGGGTGGGCAGAGGATGGGGCAACAATCCCCACAGCAGCACAAGTGCAGCAGGCTCTGTACCTCACCATGATGCGTGACTCATCCCGTCCCAGAGAGCTGAAACCTCACCTGGGGCTGAAGATTTTCTTCTTATTTCTCACTAAGGCAGCAGTGAGGCCTCATGCCTGGCAAGCTGGGGCGGGGAGAAGCTCAGCTCCTGTGCTTCCCTTGTACACACTCTCAAACCAGGGGTTTCCCTTCCATGGGGGTATCAAGACCACTGTGAGACTCAGAGTTAGTGCTTGCCTGGGCAGTGCCCTGCAAAGACCACCTGTGGAGGTGTCCTGGAATGTCTCCCGATGTGGCCAGCTGTTGAGTGTCATTTGGGAACCGGGTTGGCATGCACAGGTGAGGAGCTGGGGTCAGGGTCAGCCCTACTTTGTTCAGTGCCTGTGTAGAGGAATCAGCATGCTCTGGGGCTAAGCCGGGTGGGAGATGGGGAGCCCCAGGTCTGGGCTCTGGGAATGACTAGTGGCTGGGCTGCCAGCCTTCCAGGCTTTGAGAAGTGTTTACTCCTTTCAGGATGCTCCCGGAGGACTGGCGTGCAGCGGCGCGGGGGTGCCCGTGAGTCACTCACACCTGGTGCTCCCCGTCTGCAGAGGCAGCACCGTCCCGCGCCGGGGGCCGCAGATTCCTTCCCTGCGCCTGGTATGCGGAGGGAAGCTGGGAAACACCGCGGAGCTGGAGACACTCTGGTTTTGGGGACCCAACAGCCCTGAGTGCCCCACTCCGGCGCACATCCAAGGGGAATGCTGCTGACAGGATGGTCAAGATGCTGCCGGGCTCTCCGTGGGCCACTGTGGTTTGGGGACCACCCCAAACCAGTGCCTGCCCCGGTCCTGGGGGCCGAGGCGGTGGGCAGAGCCCCTGGCACGGCTGTGAAATGTCGCTGCCCCGGGTGCCCGCTGGGCGAGGCTCGGCCCCGCGCTGCCCCCGTTCGCCGGGTGACCCCCGCCGCCCGTGCTCTGTCGCCGGCACCGCGCCGTGGGGCTGCTCCACCAGCTCCGGGCCCGGGGCCAGCCACAGAGCCCTTGGCAGGCCCCTCCGCTCCCTGTTTAACGAAGCCCCTTGTCTAATTGGGGCAGGCCGCCCTGTCTTCATTAAACGGGCTCTGGCGGGAGGAGGGTTGAGGGATGGTCCTGACCTGAGGATGCTGAACTCACGGCCGGACCCACAGGGCTGGGGCAGGCAGGGGCAAACCTGCGGGCACGGCAAATTTCGGAACCCGCCCGCCGGCTTTGGGGGCCAGGGCTGAGGTCTAAGGAGAGGAAGGCTAATGAAGAGGAGGGGCTGCACTGCTTGCTGTACCTTTAAGAAGAGCGAGGGCAACGCCACTCCTCCCCTGCCTGGAACAGCTTGTGCCTGGGAAAGTTGCCTGCAGCCGACCCTGGAGCATCTTTGCTCGGTGGCCGGTGGCCCTGCCCCCGGCCCCCAGCTGCGAGGTGGCCCCGGGCCCCAGAAATCCCCACTGTTGCTCCTCTTGCTGCCCACAAGAAGATGCCCCTGGACCTGTCTGTCCATTGCCCTGCCAGGAGCCGGAGGGGAGCCCCTGGGGCAGTGCCTGGCAGGGCACAGGTACGTGGGGTGCTGGGGACAGGGGATGTGAGCTGACCAAGGGGTCAGAGGACAGGTGGCATGGGGAGCATGGCAGGTTCCTTGAGTCAGGGTCAACAGAGGTGGGTACAGGCACCACTGGGGAGGATGAGGTGCTGTGTGATGTGTCCCAAGGAGCAGTGTGGTCCCACAGGTGCCCTGGGGGTGAGGAGCACCCGGAGGGGCAATGGTGCACCCTGGGCTGAGGAGGAGCCTCAGGGCAGTGTTCTACAGTCACAGGATGGGCAGGAAGTGAGACCAGGGCAACACGAGGTCCTTGCCTGCCTTGTTGGGCATCTTCTCCCTTTTGCCTCCTCCCAGCAACTGCAGCCACATCACCAGTGGCTTTCCAACAAGTTTTTCGAGCTCTGGGGTAAGTCTCAGCCACAAGTCTGCTGTGAGATGCTGGTTCGAGCAGGGCAGGATGATATTCCCACAGGTGACTCCAGCACAGACCCCATACTAGAACCATGGGTGCTAGGGTACCCCCAGCTGTGTGTGCAGGAAAGATCCTGGACGAGGCCTGGCTGTCCTGCAGCCTCGTGGGAGCTGCGCTGGTATGGGGAGCAGCCCTTCACCACTACCTTCCTTCCCAGGGCTAGTGCTCAGAGCCAGGCTTTAACCCACATGGTGCCAGGGGCTCAAGTCCCTGTGGCAGCTCCATCCAGGTCTGCCTGGATCCAGTCCCCAAGTCTCCAGGACACATTCCCCTGAGATGGATGGATGGATGGATGGATGGATGGATGGATGGATGGATGGATGGATGGATGGATGGAAGTGGGTAGCCAGCTCCTGGCTGGCAGGTGCCAGAGCTGCTCACCTTCCTGAAAGATGCAGATGCTGGAGGGAAAACTGCCTTGAGCATTACTGGAGCCCACTTAGCCCCTCACGGAGGTTTCGTTGGCAAATCCAGCAGCAACTGTTCCCAGGTGTCCAGCCCTCTCCTGCAGCATTCCCATCCCGGAGCCGCCCTGCAGCGGGGAGAGCCTGAGGAGCTGCTTTCTTTCCTTCCTCCCTCTCAGGGGAGCGGTGGGAAAAGCCCTTTGGGAGGCCGGGCTGGGCGGGGGCCGCGCCGCTCCGCTCCCCCCGGACCGTGCTCCGGGCCGCCCTCCATAAAGGGGCGGGAGCGCCGGGGGCCGGTGCGCGCCGGCACCGCCCGGCACGGCTCGGCACGGCTCGGCACGGCTCGGAGCGGTGCGGGACGGAGCGGCCCCGCGGGGGCGGTGGGTGAGCGTGGAGCTGCGGCGGGGGTCCCTGCGGGTGGGGGGCACTGCGGGCAGGGCCGAGCCTCCGTGGGCACCCGTGGGTGCTCGCCCACCCTCCCGCGGCGGGGCTCGGGGCTCGGGGCTCGCACCGCCTGGCCCGGGCTGCGCTCGGGCCGGGACCCGGCGGAGCCATGGCGGGGGTACCGCGCCCGGTGCCCTCGTGGAAGCGGCGGGGCAGGGGGCTGGCAGGGCTGGCTCCCCGCTGCCCTAGAGCACCTTCCTGGGGCCGGAGCAGCCCCTGCGGGCCGGGGGCCAAGTGCAGCAGGGCCGGGTGCGCCCCGCCGGTGCCGCGGCGTGGGGCAGGGGAAGGGGCGGCGGTGGCACAAGCCGGGCTGTGGCCGGGCCAGGCGCTCTCTGTGTCCCCCGCACCGCGGACAGCCCCGCCGGCTGTTCACGGGCCAGCTGTGCCCGCCTGTCCCGGCCCGAAGCGGGGCTCGCCCCGCGCCGTGGGGTGCCTGGGTCGGTACTGGCACCCTGCCCTCCCAGCGCTGCCTGGCGTCTGGCACGGCTGGTGCTGGGAACCTCCCGAACTGCGGTCCCCAAGGCTTGGGGCTGGTGTGAGACTGTGGTGGCAGCATCCTATCCTGCAGGCTCCCACGATGAGCAGCCAACTCCTGCTCCTGGCTGTGCTCCCGGCGCTCCTGCGTCCTCCAGCTGCCGTGGCACAGAAGAGGAGCCAAGGTAGGTGCTGAGCACTGGGTCCACACGGTGGGTGGGACAATAAGAGGGCTTCAACACCAATGTGCCACAGTGCCAGTCTGTGCCCTGAGTGCTGTCACTGCTCCACAGCAGTGTGTGAGGATGTGCTGGAGGCTGACATCGCCTTCCTGGTGGATGGCTCATCCAGCATCGGAAGGAACAACTTCCGTGCTGTCCGCACCTTCATGGAGGAGCTGGTGGGGCCCTTTGTGCAGGTGGTGGGTGAGAAGGCAGTGCGCTTTGCCATGGCACAGTACAGTGATGACCCACGGTGAGCTCAAGGGAGGGGGCATGTGGGGTGCAGGGTGGCAGGGCTGGGAAGTGACAGTGTCCCCCTGCACTCCCCAGGGTGGAGTTCTCATTCTCCCAGCACACTGATGGCACAAGTGTCCGGAGGGCCATCCAGCAGCTGAGCTACAAGGGTGGCAATACACGGACAGGCGCTGGCTTCCGCTACATTGCAGACAACTTCTTTGGTCCCACGCAGCGCCGGCCTGGGGTCCCCCAGGTATGTGCAGAGCAATGACCCTGGCAACATGGGGAGAAGTGTCAGGTCCATGGACCCCACACTGGATCCCACAGTTCTTTCCTGGCCCTGCAGATCTGCATTCTCATCACGGATGGCAAGTCCCAGGATGATGCTGAGGGGCCGGCAGCGAAACTGAAGAGCCAGGGCATCAAGGTCTTTGCTGTGGGTGAGTGAGGCTTCTGCACCACATGAAACAGTCTTCTGCTTAGTTCAGGTTCTTCCCTCACCCGTCATCTCCCTCTGTCCCAGGTATTAAGAATGCTGACCGCAAGGAGCTGATCCGTGTGGCCTCGATGCCTACGGATGCCTTCTTCTTCTATGTCGGTGATTTCAAGCTGCTGGACACGCTGGTGCCACTGATAACACGAAGGGTGTGCACGACTGTTGGGGGCACCCTGCGCCTGCTGGGTATGGGCCCCCATCCTCCTCCCTGAGGGGCACAGCTGCTGACAGTGCTGGGTGCCAGACCGTGCAGCCTTAGCATCTGACCCACCCCCAAAATTACCTCCTGGCTACCCCATCCCATTGGGCCACCTGTGCTGCCACAGCAATATCTCCTCTCTGCTTCGTGCACTGTGGAGCCAACAGCCCCTGTGCTACCCCACAGATGGGCCAAGGCACACTGGCCCCTCCAACCTGGAGATCCCAGAGCGGGCCCTGGACCATCTGCAGATCCGCTGGAGAGCAGCCAGCGGTCCCATCACTGGCTACCGGGTGCAGTACGTGCCACTGACGGGGCTAGGGCAGCCCATCATGGCTGAGAGGCAGGAGGTGAGTGCCCCCACCTGACTGCTCAGAGTTCCTGGGGGCTCCTGGTGGCTCCATGTGTGACCTGGGAAAGATGAGGGAGTGACATTGTTCCTGCCCAGGTGAGCGTGGGGCCACGGGAGACAAACACTGTGCTACGGGGACTGCGTGTTGGGACGGAGTACCTGGTCACTGTCACCGCCCAGTACGCCAACAGCATCGGCGAGTCAGTGTCTGGCCGAGCACGAACCCGTGAGTGTCCACATCCATGGAGGGGGTGAGTGCAGGCATTGGGTGCCACAGGGGGCTGGGGACTCATCTCTGCTTCTCTGTGCCTCCAGAAAGCCGTGCTGGCTCCGTGCTGGATTTTCGTGTGGTGGAGGCTGGACCGACCTTTCTGCGGCTGGCCTGGCAGCCTGGCCCCGAGCCCCTGCAGGGCTACAGCCTCAGCTATGCTGTGCAAGGTGAGGGGTGGTCCCTGCCTGGGCACCCTGCCTTTGTGCAGCCCCCTGGGCAGAGTGATGCACGGGGGAGCGTTAATGCAGGGATACATGCCCGGAGTGCTGTGGGTGTGTATCCACCCACCTTCGCCACGGCAGCCGGCACGCGTGCGCTGGGTGTGGGGCGCGCGTGTGCGCAGAGGTGTGGAGGCAGCCTGTGTATTCCTACACCCCGAGGCTTCATGTGCAAGGTTCAGGGTGTGTGCTTGGGCGTGCATGATGGCTGGGGGCCTGGCGTGTGCCCCCATGGCTGCTGCACATGGGGGTCAGGCAGCAGACCCCCGTCCCTGGGTGGGACGGGGCTGGAGCCACACACCTGGCAGCCTCACCCTGGCCTCGGGCGCTCCAGGGGGTGCCCCTGCCCTGGCCCACGTCCCAGCACTTCCCAGTGCTCCCCACCCCTGGCACTGACTGGCATCCTCAGGGCAGGGTGCAGGCCCACAGGCACCCCTTCCCTGCTGGGCCTGGTGTGTGCTATGTCCCTGTGCCCCCCACACCCTCCAGGAGCACCTCAAAGAGAGGAGAAGAGCCTGACAGCCAGCGCACAGTCAGCCACACTCAGCGACCTGCAGCCCGATACCGAGTACATGGTGATGCTCCAGCCCCGCTATGCACAGCAGCCCGCTGTCCCTGCCACCCTCACCGCCCGGACACGTAAGCACTGTGCCCAGCCCTGCGCCCAGCCAGGGTTAGGAATGGGTTCCCAGCACAGGGATGGCCCCTCCAATCACTGTGCCCCATTGGGATGGGGCTGCCTGGCCCATGGCTGTCTGTGGGGATGGGATGGGGATGCAGGTGAGCATGGCTACAATGCAATGCTCTGGGCCCCAAAAGTTGCTCCCAGGGCAGGATGCAGCACTGTGTGCTCCCAAATTCCTTTGCAGCCTTCTGGGAGTGTTTCCACCAGAGCTTTCTTCCCATGATGTAAAAATGTTGACTGAAAAAATTCAGGGTTTGAGTACAGTGCTCTGTGGGAGGAAAGTGTGGTTTCCACCAGGGCAGAGGCTGTTGGAAAGCATCAGGAGTGGGGGTGAGGCCCCAGGGCAACACCTTTGCAAGCATCAGATTTTGGCAAACCAATTCCTTCAGCTGCCCCAGGCAGTCTTAACCCGCAGAAGGTATTTAAGGCATTAAGAGGAAGGCATTTGAGCTCCATTTTGCACGAGTTTGATGCTTTGAAGGAGCCGCCTGAGCGTGGGCTGCGCTCAGTGACCTGAGTGTAGTTAGCATCCATGAGCAGGGGCTTCCTGGGGACAGCAGGTTTGCAGTGGTTTGCATTTCCTGCTGCCCCCTGCCCACTCTCGTGTGGGAGATGAACAGTCACCTCACTTCCACAGGGCACCTGGTGGGCGTGCAGCACTTGACTGTCCACAACGTCTCAGCACAGAGCATGCTGCTGGCCTGGCAGTCTGTCAGTGGTGCGACCGGCTACCGCCTCTCCTGGGCAACCCTCACAGGTAGGTGCCTCTCCCAGAGCTTGTGCCCCTTCTGCTGGAGGCCCCTGTGAGGAAGGACAGCAGGGAGCTGGTGGCACCTGCTGCCTGAACTCAAGGGACTGCTGCACTGGCTCCTACAGGGCAGGACAGGCACAGGGTGGACCTGGATGCCGGGCAGATATCACATGCACTGGTGGGGCTGCAGCCCAACACCGACTATGTGGTGACAGTGGCCCCACTCTTCAGGCAGCTGGAGGGGCCCGCAGCCACTGTGCGGCAGAGGACAGGTGAGTGTTGGGTACCAGTGATGCCATCCTGCTGCTGTGCATGGGAGGGGGTAGGGACAGCCCTCATAGCCCTGTCCTTGCCATGTGCGAGGACCAGAGACACGGGCTGGGTGGCTGGCAGCAGAGTGGCACAAGGTACCTGGCCCATGGGGTCCCTCTTGCAGAGGCAGGTTCAGTCCAGACGCTGCAGACCAACATCCTGGGCCCCACCTCCATCCAAGTGCTCTGGACCAGTGCCCGTGATGCTCGTGGCTACCGTCTGGAGTGGAAGAGAGCCACAGGTAGGCTCGAGGTGCCTGTTGCCCCTCTGGGCCCTCCATGTCAGCAGCTGGCTGTGATCCTTCCCTTCCTGCAGGACCAGAGCCCCCCAGAACAGTGTCTCTCCCCAGCAGCACCAATACTTACCAGCTGATGGGGCTGAAGCCGGGCACCGAGTACCGCATCACCCTCTACACGCTCTATGATGGTGGGGAGGTGGCCACCCCTGTCACCACCTTTCAGACAGGTGAGTGCTGCTGTGGGTCCCCTGAGTTGTCCCCAACATTCCAAGCCTTTGGCATGGAGGGATGTCCCAATGGACACTGGTCAGCCTGAGGACTGCCTTGACCAAGAGAACCCCCAGCTGTCTGGTCACAGCCCAGGATGAGAATGGGGGCTGTGCTCTCCAGGCTGTGCCGCTCCAGCTGTGCCTCACATGTCCCCTCACAGGCGTGGAGGCACCCGTGGGTGCTGTGTCAGACCTGCGGCTGGTTGAGGAATCGGGCAGGTGGGTACGCCTGAGCTGGACCGGTGTCCCCGGTGCCACCGAGTACAAAGTGGTGGTGCGCAACAACCAGGGTGAGTCTGCGGACAGGGCACGGGTGGCACCTGGGGGATCCTGAGCAGCTGACACCGAGCCACTGCACTGCCCTGCTCCTGGCAGATGGCACGGAGAGGACGAGGCGCATCCCAGGCAGCCAGACAGGGCTGGAGCTTGGTGACCTCCGGGAGGGCGTCACCTACCTGGTGCGTGTCTCGGCACTGGCAGGCAGCCGGGAGGGCAACGCTGCCATGCTTACCGTGCGCCTCAGTAAGTCCACATCAGGGTTTGGTACCAGGAGTTCTGGTGTTGCATGTTCCCACTCTGGCACGCAGCTGTCTCTATCCCCCTGCAACCCCTTGGGATGGCAGCTTGGCTGTGGGGTCCCTTTGGACTCCCCAAGGTGATGCTGTGGTGCTATGGGGTGGTGCAGAGTATCCAGATGTGGGCAGCATTTCGGATCTGCGGGTGATGGAGGCCGGTCCCAGCCAGCTGCGGGTCACCTGGCGAGGGCTGCCAGGTGCCGGGGGCTACCTGCTGACGTGGCAAGGCAGTGACGGTGAGTGTATGGACCACGGGGTGCTGTGGCAGCAGTGCTGGAGCCCTTCCTATCCCAGCCATCTCTTAGGTCTGAAGAAATCCCGCTTCCTCCCTGCTGACCCCACCACCTTCACCATCGAGGGGCTGCATGCCAACATTGTCTACACCATCAGTGTCTCGGCCATTGTGGATGGCCGTGAGGGCAGCCCTGTCACTGCCACGGGACGGATAGGTGAGATAACCCCTGCCTGACAGTTCTGTCTGGTGCCATTGGCTGTGACCCAGGGTGACAGTGGCCCTCTTGGTGTCACAGTGCCAGAGCAGGTGGGGAAGGTGACCCAGCTGGAGGTGCAGGCATCCAGGAGCAATGTTGCCCGTGTCACTTGGGTCGGTGTGCCGGGAGCCACTGCCTACCGTGTGGTGTGGAGCCGCAGGGACGGTACTGTGGGATGGGGATGGGGGTGGGCTGTGAGGGCAGCAGGGTGGGTGGCCTGATGCCACAGTCCTTGGCAGGAGGTTTGGAGAATAGTCGGCGAGTCCCTGGCCACACCAACTCCTTTGACATCCCCAACCTGGAGGGAGGCGTCTCCTACACTGTGAAGGTGACGGCACTCATTGGCAACCGGGAAGGCAACCCCGTCTCCGTTGTTGTCACCACCCGTGAGTGCTGGGGCAGGGGGCAGCACCCCAGGGTGGCACTGGGCACTCCTGCCCCTGACACCTGCCGTTCTGCTCCACAGCTGAGGCAGTTCCCCTACGCCCTGTCAGTGGCTTCCAGGTGACCGAGGCCTCAGAGCATCGCCTGCTCCTGACCTGGCTGCCAGTGGCTGGCAGCACTGGGTACCGTCTGTTCTGGCGCCTGGCTGAAGGTCAGCATAGCTGGCTGGAGCTCCCGCATCCCTGACAGCCCCCACCCGCATCCCCTCACCCCTCTCTGCCCCTGCCAGGGGGGCCCCCGCAGAGCCAGCAGCTCCCAGCCAGCTCCAGCTCTTATGCCCTGTCGGGACTGGAACCAGGCCGGCACTACCATATCAGCATCACCAGCCTGGCAGGCAGCCAGGAGAGCGAGCCAGCCACCATCACTGCCATCACCAGTAAGGGACTGCCTGTGGCCAAGGCAGCATAAACCCCCTGACACATGGCTTGAGCCCAGAGGGGCACCCAGGGACTGGACTGTCCCAGCATTGGGCTGGGGAGGGAGCACGTTGGGAACTGCCCCATGAAGCTGGGATACCCTTTCCTCCCCCTTGGTAGCTGCCCCAAGCCACATCACCAGCCTGCGGGTGACAGAGGTGCAGAGGGATTCAGTGACTCTCACCTGGACCCCAGTCCCTGGTGCCTCTGGCTATGTCCTCTCCTGGAGCCCTCCTGCAGGTGAGACGAGTGGGTGGCCCCAGGATGGTGGGCAGCATCCCCGCGAGGGCTTGCTGATCCCTCTGACTGTCCCCTGGGTGGCAGCTGGTGGGGAGAAGGGGCGGACGCTGCCCAGCACTGCCAGCTCCCAGCAGGTCTCTGGGCTGCGCCTGGGCCAGCGCTACACCTTCACCCTCCGGCCACTGCTGGGGAGCGCGCCAGGTGCCGAGGTGTCCGTCAGTGAGCGCACAGGTACTGTGGGGTCCCCGCAGGGGTGAGCTGAGCTTGTCTCCACTCTGGTGGTGGCTTCACCCCTTCCTGTCCTGCAGTCTGCAGGGATGCCCTCGGTGACGTGGTCTTTCTAGTACACGGCATCCGCAACAGCTCCTCTGGTGCCAATGCTGTCCGCACCCTCCTCTCCAACACCGTGTCTGCCCTGGGGCGCCTGGGCCCTGAGGGCACACAGGTAAGCTGCTGCCACAGCACCGGGGGCATGAGGGGGTCATGGATGGGCCGTGGTGCCCACTTGCTCCCCTGCACCCTTGCAGGTGGCCCTGGCCACGTACAGCTCCCGCAGCCTACCCTGGCTGCTCCTGAACCGCTCCAGTGACCTGCGCACCGTGCTGGAGCAGATCCGTGCCATGCGCTATGAGGATCCCAGCGGCAACGCCATCGGTGAGGGGAGGCGCTAGGAGCTGGGGCAGTGGTTTCTGGGGTCCTGCTGACTGTCCCTTCTTCCTTCTCCCTCTCTAGGGGCAGCCATCAGCTTTGCCAGGACCTACCTGCTGAGTCCTGGTGCAGGGCGCCGTCTCGGGGTGCCAGCAGTGCTGGTGATTCTGGCTGACAGCCCCTCTGGGGATGATGCCATCACTGTGGCCAGGGACGTCAAGGCTGGGGGTGAGGATTAATAGGGTCTCATCAGGGTGTGCAGGGACTTCTGTGGGGTGCTGAGGGTGCTCTCTGCTCAGGGGTCCAGGTGCTGGCAGTGGGCATGGAGGGGGCAGACCGGGAGCAGCTCCGGCGCATGGTCACCAGTGAGGACCCACGGTACATCTACCATGGCAGAGACCTGGCAGAGCTGGAGGGAGAGCTCACCGATGACCTCTGCACCATCATCTCCACCAGGGTAAGGGCCTGAGTACCTCGGGGGATGGAGAGGGGGAGCAGCCCCATGTAAGCCAGAGGATCTCAGATCCCTGGGTTCACACAGGCTTGTCTTTTCTTGCCAGCCGGCGCCGGAGCCAAAGCCCTGCTCTGTGAAGTGCCCCAAGGTGAGCTTCTCAAGGCTGTGCCATGCTGGGCTGTGCCGTGCCACAGATGCTCAGCATGGGTCATGGACCCCTAGTTGGTGACGGCAGAAGCCCAGTGGGGAGTTAAGTACAAGAGTGCCAACCCCAACCCCTTCCCTCTGTCCCCTTGCAGGGCGAGAAGGGAGACCGCGGTGAAGCAGTGAGTGCTTTGGTGACGCCCTGCCACCAGCTGGTGGCTTTGGGAGGTTTGCATCTCCCATACCGCGCTAATATCAGCTCACAGGGGATGCTCACTGCTGGCTTTGTCTCTGCAGGGACTGCAAGGACGTATGGGACCACCAGGTCTCCCTGGGCAGCCGGTAATAACCTGATGGAGGAGGGAAGAAGAGGGGCAGCTCCCTGGAGAGGGCAGTGTCATGATCCCCATGTCCTCATGTTCCCTCATCCCTTTGCCCTGCCAGTGGGTGGGTCTGGGTCAAGGACATATCCAGCCCTTGCTACAGGGATACACAGGCAACACCTCTTGACCATCACCTGCCACCCAGCCTGTCCTCTCCACTGTGTCTCCAGGGTCGCCACGGGCTTCCTGGCTCTCCAGGACCACCAGGGCCACAGGGTCCACCAGGAGAGAGTGCCGAGGGTCCGGGCAAGAAGGGAGACAGGGTGAGTACCTCTGGCCCCTAGGCACCCCAGGACCCCTGGACACAGTGACCTGGCTCCATGGGGCCTCTCACTGCCCCTTGTCCCTTTGGTCTCCACACCTATGCTGGAGGGGAAGTCCCACTGAAGAACCCCAGTCCAACTCCACACTGCACCCTCACATCCCAGCTCAGCACATGGGGAAAAGCACCCTGGAACCCAGCTCTGCCTTGGGGCTGCCCTGAGCTGAAGGAGCCTGGCAGTGCTGGGGTACACCAGATGCTGGCATGATATTCCTCTGTCCTGCAGGGATTTCCTGGAGCTGATGGGAGACCAGGAAGCCCTGGACGCCCTGGGAATCCTGGAGCACCTGGGCAGCCAGTGAGTAAGGGTGTCCTTTGGCTTTGCTGCTGCACAATGGGCCCTTCCCATGGCCCTGCCTGCTCCCTGAGCCAGCCTCTGCTTCCCTGTTCCCTCTGCTGGGGGAATCTCAGCAGCTGGCAGGGTTACTGCTATCTCCTGTGTGTGTATCCCAGTCAAAGTGTACTGTCTAGCCTTGCTTTGGCTGGAGATGGCGTGCCATGCCATGCTATGCCATGCCATGCCATGCCATGCCACCTCATTCCATCTCATCCCATCCTCACTCCCCTGGCTGGCGGATGTGTTCACCTCCTGAGCTGTTGTTTTCTAGGGCATCCAGGGCACCCCTGGTCCTCGAGGGGATCCTGTGAGTATGGCCCCAGCCTTCCCCAACCCTTCTCACACCCAACACCCCCTCTCATTCTCATCTTTCCTTCCCAGGGGATGCGTGGGCCCATGGGACTTACTGGCCCAAAGGGGGAGAAAGGTGAACCGGTACGTGATGGACAGGGGGCTGCCCACAGGGTCCCTGGGGAGCACTGGGGACCCTGGTGGGCACAGCTTGGTACCTGGCATCTCCTGGCCCCAGGTGTCCCCATCTCCCTGCCAGCCTCTGGCCTTACGGGGCACAGGCGGTCACTGACTTTTCCTGCCCTGCTGCAGGGAGAGCCCAGGGTGATCACGGACGGAGTGCGGGGGCTGCCAGGCCAGAAGGGGGAGCCGGGTGTGCCGGTAGGTGCGGGAATAAGGATGGGAAGGGCTCTCTGCCAGCACCCCCAGCCCAACCTCAGCTGATGGAGCACCTCTGTCCTCCAGGGCAGCCCCGGCTCACCTGGGATCCCTGGCTCACGGGGGCCTCATGGTGATCCAGGCCCCCCCGGTCCACTCGGACCCATGGGGCTACCAGGACCTCCTGGGGAGTTTGTGAAGGTACGTGTCCCCAGTGCTGCATGGGGATGGCTGGGGGATGTGTGGGCAGAGGGAAGGGGGAACAGGCAGCTGCTTGGAGCTGCTCCCTGCTGGACTCCTCCTGGCCCTGCTCGTGGGTTGTGCCTGCACACGGATGCTCGTGCCTGAGCTGTTGCTGGCACTGGGCAGCGTGGGGAGAGGCACTTGGCATGCACATACCCTAATGCCACTGATGGGCTCTACCCAGCATGTTCCTCTTCTGTACAAGGAGGGCATGGGAACAGCCCAGAACTTCCCTTATTTGCTTTTTTCACCTTTGCAGGGAGAAAAGGGTGACCGAGGAGAAAGGGTGAGTGGCTGTGTATTTCCCTGACTCATCTACCCTGCTGGGTGGAGGGGTTCCTCAGGGTGCTGGGGAGGACTGAGCCCTCAGGGCAACCACACAGGAGCTGACCCTTCTCTCTGCAGGGCCCCCCTGGATTCGTAGATGGGGCAGTACCTCGAGGGGACCCTGGACCCCCAGTGAGTTCAGCCCCTTGGCCAACAGGGTTGGCAGAGGGGATCAGGGCTGCAGTGGCTATGTGTGCCCAGGGCTGAGTCACATCCTCAGGGGCTGACATTTTCTCTCTTGCAGGGCCTGCCTGGGGACCCCGGGCCTCGGGGACCTGCTGGGCCCCCTGGCCTGAAGGGAGAGAAGGTAAGAAGGTGCTTCCCACTGGGGCTGGACCTCGCACCACTCTCCAGCGAGGATTCCCATCTAATGGGCATCCCCATGTCATGAGCATGGCTGTCACCTTTCCAAATCCCCAGGGTGATGGCACAGAAGGTTTCCCAGGGCCACCTGGCCGCCCCGGGGACCCAGGAGACAGGGTGAGTTTCCTGAGAGAAGGTAAGGAGGCAGGAGCTGGCCATGCCAAGAGCCAAGCCTTGAGAGCACACTTGAGCACTCGTGCTTTGAACAGCCTGGGCATCTGCCTTGTCACACCGAGGGTGACAATGTCTCCCTTCTCTTCAGGGTCCTCGGGGACCACCGGGGGAGCAGGGCAGGAAGGTGAGCAGGGCAGGGACCCAAGGGACGCTCCTGCCATGCCTTTGGCAGAGAGAAGGGGGTTCTGGGTTCTGTGCCAGGACCCAGGGTGTCCCCCAAAGGTCCTGCTGCCCCTGAACCTTGGTTTCTCCTATACCAGGGAGACCGTGGGGCACCAGGCGAGCTGGGAGAGACTGGCGAGAAGGTGAGAAGGTGCCAAAGCAGATGGGCATTGGCCGGTCCTGGTGTCCCTGGGACCTGGTGGTGGCAGTGCCTGGGAATGGCTGTCACAAGCCAGTGGTCTTGCATGGGATTCAGGACTGGCTCATGAAGAGCTCTGGGGTGGTGTGTGGGGTGGGGGCAGTGTGATGTGGAGGGAGGAAGGCTCTCTGAAGCCCTCCTCTGCTTTGCTCTGCAGGGAGACCGCGGTGTGCCGGGCCCAGAGGGTGAGAAGGTAGGTGCATGGCATGGTGGAGTGATGCCTGCTCTGCCCTGGAGCAGCCACCCTGGCAGGGGGTGGCAGAATGCCCACACACCTTCCTCTTCCTCCTCTCCTGCAGGGTGAGATAGGAGCCCCAGGGCACCCAGGGCCATCAGGCAGAGAGGTGAGCCAGGGTAGTGGGTGTGTGGAGCCAGGAGCTGCCATGCACTGGGTGCACATTCCCAGGCACTGCCAGCCTCCTGAGGTCTCTAATCTTGCCACAGGGAGCTCCAGGACCGACTGGCCCCCGGGGGGAGAAGGTGAGGGCAAAGTGGGGTCCCAGTGGGGTGGCAGGGGTCTGTTGGGGAAGGGCCTGGCAGTGACACCTGTCTCTCTGCAGGGCGATCCAGGACCACCTGGCAGACCAGTAAGTGTTGCTGCCCACCTGTGCCTGCCTCAGCCCCAGGACAGGGAACCATGGGCAGTGTCCAGCATGGTCTCCTCTGCTTCTCCTCCAGGCTCCCAGCGTGGCTGGTGTTGGAGAGAAGGTAACCCTGGCCCAGCTGTGCCCTCCGCCCTCTGGGCATGGCTGTGGGCTGGGGAGGGGGATTGCACAGTTGGACTCATCCTGGTCCCAGGCCTGGTCCACAGCTGCAGTGGGGGAAAAAAAAGGGTGGTTTGGGGTGCTGATTTTGTCTGCTCCAGGGTGACAGAGGTTTCCCAGGACCAGAAGGTCCTCCTGGCCCCAAGGGTGAAGCAGGAGATAAAGGTGCCAGTGTGAGTACTGCCTTGAGGATAGGAAGCACAGGGCACATGGCACAGCCCTCTCCAGACCCATGGTGCCTGTGCTGCTGCTCCATGCTATGTCCTTTCACATCTAGGGTCCCCCTGGCCTGAGCATCCCAGGGCCAGCTGGCCCCAAAGGCGAGCAGGGCGATCGGGTGAGTCTGGGGGCACCCTGGGGGCACCAGCTCATGGCCCTGGTCCCTCTCCTGTCAAGGGGTCACCGAGGTTCCCAGTGACACCTGCTCTTCCTCTCCAACAACCAGGGTACCGTTGGCCTCCCAGGCAGGAGTGGCCCAAAGGTGATGTCACTGCCCTTCCATTCATCTGTCCATCCATCCATCTGTCTGGCTGGCTGGCTGGCTCCAGAGGGGCTGCTCCTGCAGGCTGTGCCCCTTCTCTCCCCAGCTGCCCAGACTCTGCCCTGAGTGTTGCCCCTTCCCTTGCCTAGGGTGACCCAGGAGAGCCCGGGGAGAAGGGGGAGCCGGGCCGAGCAGGCACCCCTGGGCAGATCGGGCTGCGAGGCAAGGAGGTAGTGTGGGACAAGGGGCTGTGGGGCACCGCGGCCCTGAGGAGAGGCGGGGCTGGCAGGGAGCAGGGGGATGCTGGTCACTTGTACTTTTCTCTCCTGGCCGGTGCCCACTGATTTGTGCCTCAGGGAGAGCGAGGAGAGAAAGGTGACGAAGGCACCCCGGTAAGTGAGGGTCCCCAGGACCACTGCCCCCCTTCCCACTGCCTCTGATGCCACTGCCCCCCAGTCATCCCCTCCTTCTCCACAGGGTGAAGCGGGTCTGCCTGGCAAGCCTGGAGACAGGGGTCCCCGGGTAAGTGCTGGGGTGCTGGGCACCTGGGGCAGGAAAGAGACTCGTGGCCTTGGGGTGGCTCCTGCTAATGCACATCTTCCCTTTGCCCTCCACCCAGGGCCTTCCTGGCTACCGTGGCCCCCCCGGGGAGAAGGGTGACTTGGGGGACCCAGGACCTGAAGGCAGGAATGTAAGTAGCCCCTTGTGTGTGCCCACTGCTCCATGGACACCCACCACTCCAACACCTCACTGCCCCACACCCACCCTTACCCCTGGGGTACCCCCATCCCACAGGACCCACACCCCATTCCCTCCCCCTCTGACTCCATCCCTCTTTCCTGCAGGGCAGCCCTGGAGCACCAGGGAGCAAGGGTGACCGTGGGGACCCAGTGAGTGATGGCAGGGCCATATGTGGCCCCCCACCCCAGACCCAGCTGTGCCCTCCCCAGGGCTGTGCCAGCTCCCCTTAATCTGCTTCCCTTGCCCTTCTTTCAGGGGCCTCCCGGACCCCCAGGACGAACTGTAAGTTCTGCCTCCCTCTTCTCCCTGTCCATGGGCTGGTGTCTAGTCCCGTGTGTTCCAACAGCTCCTCTCTGCCCCACAGGTCGATGTTGGGCTCGGAGGAGTGGGGGGAAAGGGTGAGAAGGTAATGAATAATGAGTCCTTGGGATGCTGGTGGTGGGATACCCTCTGCTGTCCTCTGGGCTCTGCCTGACCACTGGCATCATTGTTGATCAAGCCCTCCCTGCCCAAAACAGCCTCTGCCGTGTGCAGCTGATGTGCACCAAGACTGAGAGGCACATGGGGAGCACAGGGGCTGACACTCATACCCTGTGATGGGAGGAGGCCCTGTAGGGCTGAGGTTTCCAAAGGAACTGGTGTGCTCCTGGCTCCTCAGCCCCACAGGGATCCTGTGGCAGCACCCAACACTCTGGGCATTCTGCTTTTACAACCCAGCTTAGGCTCAGGGCAGTTTTGGCCACAGGTTGTGCTCTGTGCTGGGCAGCACTGTGGTCCCAGCTGTGGCCAAGGCTCAGCAGTGCTACTCGGTGCCTTTCTTCTGAACCACACTCTGGCCCCTACTCCCCCAGCAGGAGCTGCCCACCCACCAGCCACTTCTTTTTTAGCCTGTGCCTCTTATTTTGAGACCATTCCTCTCACTCCACCCCTAAACCACACGGCACCAGCACTGTGTACTCTGGCACAGGCTGGGTAGAGCACAGTACCCTCTGACCACCGTGCCCTTCCCTGGCAGGGGGACCCTGGGGACCCAGGTGAGGACGGTGCCAAGGGTGCCCGGGGTGATGCTGGCTCCCCTGGACTGCCTGGAGAGAGGGTAGGTGCCGCGTCCCTGCTGTGGGAGGCATGGGGACAGCATGGTGGGTGATGTTCTGCAGGAGAGCCGGGGTCCTGGTGTGCAGGGCCTGCCTGCTGAGCACCCGGCTCCCCTCCTTCCCCCCGTGCCCCACTGCTGAGCGTGTCTCTTTCCTGCAGGGTGTGGAGGGCCCCCGTGGCCCCCCTGGCACACGGGTAAGTGTCCCCTTTCCCATGGGGGTCTGAACAGGGCACCCGTGCCCTCTGCTGCTCCTGTTAATGGGAAATGGGGCTCATTCTCTTCTGGCCCATAGGGTGACCCTGGGGACCGAGGCCTGCCGGGAGAGAAGGTGAGAGGACTGGGGGCTGGGGGCTGCCCCACAGCACTCCCATCCCACCCCAAAGCTCCAACCATCCTTCCCTGCTCCCTTCCAGGGGGACCGTGGCTCACCAGGGCTGGATGGCCGCAATGGGCTGGAAGGCAAAGCTGGGCCCCCAGGGCCTGCTGGGCTGCGGGTGAGTGTGGTCCCAGCTGGGGGGAATGCCTGTGCCTGGGTGCCACGGGCAGAGCTGTGGGACAGAGGGGTGATGGGGTGGGAGGAGCTGTGCCTGGGGATAAATGGCCACAGACCTCTGCTCCAGGCTGGAGGAGGGACCTTCAGCAGGATGGGAATGTCCCTGTCCTCACTTCCTCCTTGTCTGCAGGGGGACCCAGGAAAGCCTGGAGATCCTGGCCGGGATGTAAGTACCTCTGGAGAGGGTGGGTTTAGGTTGTGTTCCTGCTGGGGCCATCAGACTTGTAAAGGACCAGTGTCCTGTCCCATGCTTCTTGGTCCAGGGCAGTGCAGCAAGACCCTCCCCTGTCCCAGCAGAGTGGCACTGCCAGTCACACTCCCTGCTCCCAGGGCTGGCTGTGGCAGATGGGTGCCCTGCTGCCTTGTGCTCCCACCATCTCCTTTCCCTACAGGGGCTGCCTGGACTGCGTGGGGAGCAGGGACCACCTGGCCCCATGGGTCCCCTGGGACCACCTGGCGTGCCTGTAAGTACCAGCCCAGTGCCTGTAAGTACCACCCTGCACCCTAGGGACACATCCTAGGGTCCCATGCCCTCTGTGGATTTCAGCTGGATCCATCTGGTGGGGCTGGCCCTGAGCCCAGCTCCCCCTTCCATGCACCTTGAGGCTCCAGTGGGGCCCTGGCACCCCTGGCTGCTGCTGCCTCTGGCTGGTGGAGAGCCTGTGGGGCTCCCTCACTGCCTTTCTTTTCCTCCCAGGGCAAAGCCGGTGAGGATGGCAAACCTGGCCTGAATGGCAAGAATGTGAGTAGTGGAAACAGGGCTTGACTTTGGGGCTCTCCCAGGATGCTGAGGGATAGTGATCCCAGTACAACATAAGGCAAGGGGAGGATGTGGCAAAGAACCCCATGCTCTGAGCCACCCTCGGGTTTGTACCCGTGTTGAGATGGTTCAGTGGGGTGCTGACAGGCAGCCTTTGTTCCCAGGGAGAAGATGGGACACCAGGAGAGGATGGGAGGAAGGTAAGGAAGTGATCCACAGATGGTTCCTGTGTGGTCCCCATGTGATCCCATGTGTGCCCCACCCTGGAGCACCATTTTGGGGCATGCGGATGGGGCAGCATCCCTCCAACTCCTTTCTCTCCTGGTTAGGGAGACAAAGGTGATGCAGGACTACCTGGGAGAGAGGTGAGTAGTCTCCAAAGAGGAGTGTGAGATGGGGGTGCTGGGTACATGCCCCCATCAGGCCCAGACCTGGGTCCCAGGCTCTGGCAGTGACACTGCTCTCTTGGCAGGGCCGCAGCGGTGCCAAGGGCGAGCAGGGGGACAGAGGTGTGCCAGGCCCCCTCGGGCCCCCTGGCCTTCCTGGTGTCCCAGGGCAGGTTGGCCCCCCAGGCCAGGTGTGTAGTTCTCCAGCCCATGGTGCCCTGGAGTCCAGACTGCTCTGAGGCAGGCAGGACCCCCATCCATGGCTCCCTCAGGACACTGCCCTGTGTCCATGGGGGCCAGGTGCTATTGTGTCACCTCCATGTCTTCTAGGGCTCCCCAGGCCTCCGTGGGGTGGCTGGACCAAAGGTAAGTGTGCTCCTGCCCCCAGTCCCCCAAGGCAAAGGTCTGGAGAGGACCAGGTGCCAGAGGGAATAAGTCCCTAGCAGGAGTCCCCACCCCCAAGATAACAGGGCTGGATCCTGGTGCTGCAGTTGGTGCTGGGCAGCCTGACTGCTCCCCTTGATCCCTTTGCTGTGTTTCAGGGGGACCCAGGGGAGCCTGGACTGCCAGGGGAGCCGGTGAGTAGCCAGCACTGAGCCTGGCAAGCTACCAGCACCCAGCCACAACCACAGCCAGGCAGCACCAAAGTGTTAACTCTGAAACCTGCCAAGGGTGAGCACTGCTCACCCCTCTTGCTGCACCTCTGGCATCTTCTCATTCCCTCTTTTCCTCTAAACCTAGGGGCGACCTGGCAACCCTGGAGCACGTGGAGAGCCTGGGACTACAGTGGTGAGTCCCTACCCTGACCTGCTGTGCTGGGACAGCAGCATGAGCCCTGAGGGACAGAGAACCATCCACAGCCTCTGTGGTGGGAACCTATTTTGGTTTTGATGTCTTTTTTTTGCAGAACATTGAACGTGGCCTGGAAGGGCTTGGCATCAAGGTATTATTTCCTGACTGTCAGGCTGGGGCTTTTTCCTGCCACATGGCAGCAGGTAGAGGGCATGGGAGGTGGTATGGGTTCCGAGCAATTTAGGATGGGTTAGCACGACTGTGGGGTGCTGCTACAGCTGGGCTCCACTTCTGCCCTGACTGGTGGCTCTCTTGTCTCTCCCAGGTTTCGTCCCTGAAGGAGCTCACGGGTGCCTATGACGGGAGCTCGGACTCGTTTCCGCCGGCGGTTGAGCGGCTGCGGGGCCAGAAGGGCAGTCGGGGGGATCCAGGAGAAAGGGGGCCCCCAGGCCGAGAGGTGAGTGGAGCTGGGCTCAGCGCCAAGCCCCAGCTCTGCCCCACTCCTGCTTTCTGGGCTGGCTGGGGGTCCATGCAGCCGCCTCAGCCCTGGGGTGCTGGGAGGGCTCACAGCCCCGCCTCAGGGCTGGCTCTGGCAGCGCAGCTTTTGTTTTGCAGGGCTCCTTAGGCTTCCCTGGCGAGCGAGGACCCAAAGGTGACAAGGGAGACCCAGGTACCCCCGGCCCCCAGGGCCCCATGGGCCGGGCCGTGGGTGAGCGGGGTCCCGAGGGCCCGCCTGGGCAGCCAGGGGAGCCTGGCAAGCCAGGCATTCCTGGGGTGCCGGGCCGGGCTGGGGAGCTGGGGGAATCCGGGAGGTCCGGAGAGAAGGTGAGTGTGTGTGGAGGTGCGAGGTGAAGTCTGGGGGACCTGGTCTGGGGGCTTGGGGATAGCGCCGTGACAGCCACCACGGTGTCTTCACAGGGTGACCGAGGAGAGAAGGGCGACCGAGGTGAGCAGGTGAGCTGGGACAGGGGCGTGGGGCCCTCCATCCCCTCTTGTGCTGTGCCCCTCTTGAGGGGATGCAGGGCTCTCTGTGGGGCAGGCCGATGCCCTGTGGAGGCCAGGAGTGGCTGTACCAGGAAGGCTCTGCTCTCCCATGCCCTTTGACACTCAGCCTATTTCTCTACCCTTCTCAGGGAAGAGATGGCTTGCCTGGACCCCCAGGGCCTCCAGGGCCCAAGGTAGGTGATGGCTGCTGCTGGGGACCATCGTCAAGGTGCCAGTCTGCCCCTCTGGGGATGAATGGCCACATCCAGTCCCTTGGCTCAGGGACCTGGAGAGGGCTTTGCCCCTGAGGAGTCCTTCCTGAGGTCCCCAGGGTGCTGGCCCTGACTGTGCCCTGCCCACAGGTGGACGTGGTGGAGGGCAGCCTGATGGGTCTCCCAGGTGAACGCGGCCCCATCGGACCCAAAGGAGCCAAGGTGTGTGGCTGGTCTGAAAGGAGAAGGGTAGCCAAGACAGCTGAGCTGGGGCAGCATCATGAGCTGGGGCTGAGGATGGTGGTGGGGCAGAGGGGCAGCAAGGGCTGATGGCATCTGTCTTCTTCCCCACACAGGGTGAGCCAGGAGCTGAGGGCGAGCGGGGACCCAAAGGAGATAAGGTCTGAGGTTATAAGTCTCCCATGTCAACAGCCCTGGGTGAGGGCACTGCTGGGCACACCCTTGGCAGGCCCTGGGAGGGCATGGGAAGGTCCCTGCCTGTCTTGTGACCCTGTGCCTGTCCCCACTGCAGGGTGAAGGTGGCTTGAGGGGTGAACGAGGAGAGCCTGGTGAGAAGGGCAGGGACGGCAACCCCGTGAGTACTGCACTGCTGCCCTGCCTGACACTGGCCCTGGACCCTGCCTGGCACTGACCCATCCCTGTCTCCATCCTTTGCTCCAGGGTCTCCCGGGTGAGAGAGGGCTGGCAGGCCCTGAGGGGAAGCCGGTGAGTGGGGACATGGTGGAGAGATGCAGGCTGGGACTAGGGGAGCTCCTGTGGTCTCACACCAGGCACTACCAGCACCAGCAGGAGAGTTTATGGCTCGTTCACCTCCTTCTCCCCATACCTCTCCCTATTCCTGCCCCTCCTAAATGCCCTGGCTGGGTACCACACACTGGGAATGGAGGGCAGGCAAGGCTGTGGAAGTGCTGGTTTTCCCCTTGTCCACTGACTCTGATGTGGTTCTTTGCAGGGCTTGCCAGGCTTTCCTGGCGTGCTGGGACGCCCGGTAGGTGTCTGTGTGTCTCCCATGTCCCTGTGTCCCACCCCCTCAGCACACAGCCGGGGGCTCCTGGCTCTGAATGCTTGGTGAAACCGTGGGGGTCACCCTGCTGCTGGGCTGGGTCCTTGGCCCTCTGCATCTTAGCAGGACCTGTCCAGGCTTGTCTTACTTGGTGCTTACAAGAGCTGCTGGCACTGTCTGGGTCTGCTCTCCCTGGGGACACCCCCTGCTCCCACTGGGGAAAACCCACTTCTGCAGTGATCCCATTTCTTCCTCCCTTCAGGGCAATCAGGGAGACCCAGGACCCCCAGGACCTCCGGTAAGGAGCCACCTTGCACCACGTGCAGGGGACTGTCATGCAAGGGTGATGTCAGCCAGGGTGGGCATTTCCCCACAGAGCAGAGGTGGGGTGGCACTGCTGGGACTGAGTGGTCCTGCTGCCCCCTCCCTGTTCTGTGCCACCAGCAAGCACGACCCCAATAATGTCCCTTTGTCCCCTGCAGGGCAGCACTGGCCCACCAGGGACTCAGGGCCCAGCTGGTGCCAAGGTAAGGCAGTGGCATTGGCATCTGCATCAGCATCAGCATTGCCATGTCCAGCCTGGCAGAGGGAAAGGGTGCCTTGCCAGATTTGGGGACTGGAGGGAGGACCACATTTCAGGAAGTTTTGGGCTGGAGGTAGGGACATTTGGCTGGACCCCCTCCTGGATCCAGCTATGAAGATATGCCTGTGACCAAAGTAGCTGGTCGTTTGGGGTGGTGGGGCTGATGCAGCGTGTTCTTCCCAGGGTGATCCAGGGGAACCTGGCTCCAGCATCCGTGTGAGTACTCATATCCTCCATGCCTGTACCCACCTGGCTGCCCAAAGCCATCCAGCCTCCCCAAAATCAGCCAGTCCCACCCCAACACATCTTCCCACAGGGGCAGCCAAGGTCCTGGCTGTTCCATCCCCTCTCTGACGTGTCTGTTTCCACTCCAGGGCTTGCCTGGCCCCCAGGGCAACATGGGCCTGCCAGGACCCCTTGGCCCCCCTGGCCCAGGGGTAGGTATTTGCAGCACCCCAAACCCACGCCTTGGCTGTTCCTGGTGCCTGGGATGCTGCTTGATTTCTGCTCATGTCTCCATTGCAGGGCCCGCCAGGTGTGCCTGGGCTGCCGGGACAAGTGGTGAGTGTGTTGCCCCCCACATCTGGCTGCCATCAGTGTGGGTGCTTGGGGCTGCCTGGGGGGCTGTAGGGCCCCCACACCCCACCCCCACTCTCACTGGCTGCAGGGGGAGAGCGGGAAGCCAGGCGTGCCGGGCAGGGATGGCGTGCCAGGGAAGGATGGCGAGGCAGGAGTGCCTGGGAAGATGGTAGGTTGGTGCTCACCCTGCCCTATCCCAGGGGGACCCTCACTCAGCTCAGCCTGGCTTGGCCACAGCGGAGGCTGAGGGCTGTGCCACTTGTGCCAGGGCTTACCAGGACCTTCGGGGCCTGCTGGTCCCAAGGGAGAGCCAGGGGATGCTGGACCTCCGGGGCAGGTGAGTGCAGAGCTCTCAAGGCATCACAAGAAGGCATGGCATGGCATCCCCATGCCGCTCTGCTCACCTGCCCACTCTGTCCTCTGTCCCAGGCCATCGCTGGCCCCCCTGGAGCCAAGGGAGAGAAGGTAAAGAGCCGAGCTGGGGTGGGCAAGGGTCTGCTGGGCGCTGGCATCTGCAGTGGGCACATCTGAGCACCTGTGTGTGCCCTGCAGGGTGAGCCGGCACTGCTGGAGGGTGTGCTGCTGGGAGAGCCCGTGAGTCACCCCACAAACCTTGACACTCCCATTACCCTCATCTCCCCTCACTGGCCTTTCCCTGCCATTAACCTTGTCCCCTCCCACCACCCTTGCCTTCTGAGGGGCAAGCCAGCCCTGTGGCTGCCCTCTCCCTTGACACTGCTGTCCCTGACAGGGCTCCAAGGGTGACCGAGGCTTGCCAGGCCCCAAGGGTGAGAAGGTGAGTGCTGCCCTGGGGGTCAGTGGAGAGGGTCTGTGTGGTCCCCAGCTCCCTGGCTGCTTGGCCACAGTGTGGGGATCCAGCTGCGGCTGCTCCCCCAGTTCATAGTCCCACACATCTGCTTTTTACTTGTTTTTCCCTGCCAGGGGGAGCCAGGAAAGCTTGGAGAGCCAGGAGATCCTGGGGAAGACGTGAGTAGGAGGCATATTGGGGTGATGGGTGGGTACTGAGGACAGTGGATGCTGGTGGGGGCTGGGATCTGTGCCCCTGCCACCTACTGCCCAGGTCTTCCTGGGGGCTTGGTGTCTTCACAGGGAGCCAAGGGATCCTCTGGAGCCAAAGGGGAGAAGGTACATGTCCCCTGCTCCCAGGGGGATGCCCCACCCTGGGGGATGCTCTGGGTGACATGATGGCCCTGGCACCCCTGTGCCCACCAGCCAGGTGATGTGCCACATGCTCTCTGCCACCTTGCAGGGATCAGTGGGTGTCGGTGCACGGGGACCACCAGGACAGGACGGGCCTCCAGGTTTGAAGGTAACCCCTGTCTATGTCACCCTGGCTCTGATCATGGCCCTAATGCCCCAGTGATGCTCTAGCTTGGCTGGCTGAAGGAAAAACACACTCGTGAGGAGCTTCATCTTTTACTTCCCTACTTCAGGGTGACATTGGCTTGCCAGGATTACCAGGACCCCCAGGCTTAGCAGGCACTGCCGGGATGCCAGGACAGCCAGGCCTGAGAGGGGACAATGGACAGCCTGGCCCTCCAGGTCCTCCAGGAGAGAGGGTAAAGACTACAACCAGAGCACGGCATCACTGGTCCTGGCGACCCTGAACCCTTGTGCAGTGTCAGCGATGTCCCTGCAAGCCCCTTTGCTTCCCAGCCACAGCCTCTGCCCGTTCCTGCTTTCTCCCTGCCAGGGCTTGATCGGCTTTCCGGGCAGGGATGGTGCCGCTGGACCACCAGGACCTGTGGGGCCCCCAGGGCCGGCCGTGAGTATGGTGCCACAGCATTCCTGGGCATGTGGGCTCTGCCCTGGCTTCCCTGCTGGCTCAGACAGGCTGACAGGGACCAACTGGCACCTCCCTGGCCCCTGGGGCAGGCTGGTGCTGGAGTGTGCAGTACCACGGTGGGACTCCCAGAGATGTGTCTGGCATTGCTTTCCTCCCGTGGCTTGCTCACCCTTCTGCTTTCTTTTAGGGCATACAAGGGGCCCCTGGCCTGAAGGGTGACAAGGTAGGACCAGGGGCAGCCCTATAGTATGAGAGGTGGGAAGCTGCTTCTCTTGTGGAGTGTCCCTGCAGCCCCCTCACCCCTGAGGGTGCTGAGCCCACTCTGGATGGTGGCACATGGGAGCCTCCTGTGCGCCAGGCAACCAGAGAGGTGGTGGGGACTGCGGGGTGTCTCCTGGCGTGGGGGGTACCTGGCAGGGCTGGGAGGAGCTGTGGGCAGTGAGGATGGGGGTGAGTTCTTGCCTTCATCTGGCAGGGTGCTCCAGGGGCTGGGCTGCCAGGAGCCAGAGGTGAACGTGGTGACCCAGGACCACGGGTAGGTACTGCCTAGTCCCCGCCATGTCCCCACAGCCAGCGACAGGAAGGCTCACAGTGCCAGCCCTGACAGGTCTCTAAGCCAGAGCTGCAGCTGTCCCTGGGGTGGGGTGATGCTGGGGTGCCCCCATCCTAAACCCCCTTCTCATATCCCTTCTTGCAGGGTGAGGATGGGCGCCCAGGGCCAGAAGGGGATCGTGGGCCAGCAGTAAGTACCCCCCTTTCTCAGCTGCACCCCGATCCAGACCCCCTCCTGACCACACCTCTCTTCTCCCCCTCAGGGCGTGCCGGGGAACCGCGGGGAGCGTGGGGACAAGGTAAGGGACTCTGCGGGCTGAGGAGATGGGGAGAGAATTATGCATCTCCAGGTACTGGGGTGCCCAGGGAGGTGCTGCCTGCTCCCTGCTGTGCATCTTTGCAGCATCTCACCTCATCCTTACAGGGAGACCTCGGGGCCCCGGGACCCAAAGGAGACAAGGTGAGTCCTTGGGGTGGGGAGCAATGGGAAGGAGGCAGCAGCCCTGACCCCCCTTCTCATCCCCACCTCTCTCTGCTTTGGGTGTACAGGGCGACACTGTGGTGGTGGAGGGGCCGCCTGGAGCACGGGGCAGCAAGGGGGAGCCGGTAAGAGCTGTCCCTCTCCTCCCTCCCCCCATCCTTCCTGAACCTCTGGGAAGAGCTGGAGGAGCTTTTCCCTGCTGGGGTACCCTCCCTTGCAGAGCATATTGTTCCCTCTCCTTCAGCCACCCTACAAACCCCCATTTTCCTTCTCCCAGGGATTGTCCTCCCCATCCTGATGTGTGTCTGAGCTTCTTCTCATCCCCTGACCTCTCCCTGTGTTTCCTCCTTTGCAGGGAGAGCGTGGCCTGAAGGGCACAGAAGGGGACAAGGGGGACAAGGGGGAGCAAGGCATGCTCGGAGAGAAGGTACAGGGCTGGGGGGAACTTGTGCAGGGCTGGGAGCTGCTGGGTTGGGGATCATGGAGGGCTATTGACAGGGCAAGGGACAGAGGAAGCGGGGCATGATGGCATCCCTGTGCCCTGTGTGCTGCTGCTAGCAGGGACATGGTGGAAGGGGACCTGCCAGACCTGGCCTTGGAGGTGACCATGGCCGTGCTGTGGCCATGCAGTGGCTGGAGCTCTCCCTCCTGCCCTGTGTTGATCTGGGTTTCTGCTTGCAGGGCACGAGGGGTGAACAAGGAGAGAAAGGCTCCATGGGTTTCCCTGGGGCACGCGGCCCTAGCGGGCAGAAGGTACGAAGCTGTGCAGCCCCTCTGCTGAGGGATAGCACCATCCCCCTCACCTGCCCTGACTGATGCCTTTGCCTTCCCCAGGGAGAGGCTGGAGCACCAGGAGAGCCTGGGGAGCCGGTGAGGAGCTGTGTCTTTGTGCCCCTGGCACCCCGCTGCAGGGCAGGAGCAGACCCTGCTCACGCTGTGTGCTCTCTCACAGGGTCAGCCTGGCCGTGACGGGATCCCCGGGGCCCGGGGGGAGAAAGGGGACATGGGACCCCTGGGCATGCGTGGCCTCAAGGTGGGTTGGCTTCTCTGGCTGTCAGGGCTCTCCTGGCCAGGACTAATCCTGGCTTGGCATGGCTCTGACTTCCCATCCTTGCAGGGTGACCGGGGCATGAAAGGTGCCTGTGGCCTCAACGGGGACAAAGGCGAGAAGGTGAGTGGGTGCCTCTAGGGTGCTGCAGGATGTTGCCTGGAGGCTGTGGCCCTTTGGATCCCCTCCATCAGCCAGCAGCAGTGGGGAGATGGCTGAGGCCAGACTTTGACCCTGTTGCAGGGTCGTGGGGTCCCCTCCTCTGCCTGTGGCTCTGGGGTGAGCACTGAGGGGTGAAGGACTGACTGCCCTGCCTCTCTCCTGCCTGCTGTAGGGAGAGCCAGGGATCCCAGGGCGCTCAGGACTGCCAGGGAGGAAAGGAGAGCCGGTAAGCACCACGCTGACACCAGAGTGGGATGGGAAAGTGTGGCTGGTGGCTGATGGACATCTGCTTTGTCCTCCAGGGAGAGCTGGGTCTGTCAGGACCACCAGGCATTCCTGGAAAAGAAGGGCTCATGGGACCCAAGGTAGGTTAAAGTAGTGCTGGGAAAAGCTGTGCTGGCACTTCATCCCCTCGCTGTCTGGCCCCCCACCGTGTGTCCCCTGCTGCCTGTCCCTTCCTCTTTGCAGGGTGACCGGGGATTTGATGGGCAGCAGGGAGCCAAAGGAGACCAGGGAGAGAAAGGAGACCGGGTGAGACCAGGATGCAGCCTTGGTTGAGCATATCCCTCATGCTCCCATTCAGCACTGCTCTAGATTATGTCACTAAACAATGAATTACAACAATTCCCTGCTCTTTATGAGAAAGCACCAGTGCTGTTTTTTTGGGGATGCCCAGCTATGGGGTAAGAGGATGTCCATGGCATCTGCTCTGAAGTCAGGGGCTCTGACACCCCTGGCCTCACCCTCTGCTCTCCTCCAGGGTGCCCCAGGTGTTATGGGTGGCCCTGGTCCCCGGGGCAGTGACGGTGCTCCTGGCCCCCCTGGGCCCTCAGGGAGCGTCGGCCCTCGAGGTCCTGAGGGCATGCAGGGCCAGAAGGTAAGTCCTCACCACAGGTCTCACATGGTCCCCCCCTGGGGCTGTGAGGATGGGAGGGCCCGGTCCCCTTAGTGGGTGAGGGGTGGGTGGCATCTGGATCATGTCCCAGCTCTGTCCTGCCCTGCCAGCTCGCTGGCTTTGGCTTCCTCCCTTGTGTCCCCCTGCCCAGGGGATGGAGTCTGAGGGGAGGAGTCTGCAACCCTGCTTGTCCTTGAGTTGAGCTGGACCTGTCCCCATCCCCACCTACACTGGCATCCCTGGGGTGCGGGCATGGGGAAAGCAGCACCTCCATGGTGCTGGGGAGAGCAGAGAGACTCCAGCACCAGCACCAGATCCTGAGCACATGTCCTTTGCAGGGAGAGAGAGGCCCCCCTGGGCAGTCAGTGCCGGGTGCACGTGGCATGCCTGGCATCCCTGGCGAGAGAGGAGAGCAGGTAAGTGTGTGAGTGCCTGGCCCTGCCTGGATGAGCTCCAGCCAGGGCCAGCTTCCCACCTCCTTTCTGCTGTCCCCAGGGCAGTCCTGGCACCCATGGGCTCCGTGGGGAGAAGGGAGAGCCAGGCATGACGGTAAGAAGCCAGAAGGCAGCCAGCACAGGCTCGTGGCACTCAGGTCACTGGGGTGAGAAGGGGTGCTGGATCCATCCCACAGCCACTGATGTAGGGGCTGCCCTCACCTCTGGGCTCTGCTAGACCCTGGGGAAAGGTTTTTTCCTCCTCTTGAATTGCACCACCCCCCATAACTATCCTTGCCCCTTCATGTGCCCGGCAGGAGGAGGAGATCCGTGCCTTCGTCAGGCAGGAGATGAGCCAGCACTGTGGTGAGTGTCCCCACTGCTGCCCTGGGGCTGGGGGTCTGGACCTGCTGCCCCTGACCCACATCCTGTCTCTCCTACAGCCTGTGGTGGCCACTTTCCACAGCACCAGGATTCACGTGAGCACTCAGGTTGCAGCTCTTCCTTCCTATCTCCCTGCCCCACACATGTGGCACAAAAGGAGCCCAGGCACCCAGGTGTGCCACTGGTTTTGGGGAGCTGGAGGTGGCTGGCACCCTCCATGACCCTTCAGTAAGGGTCAGCATCAGTGTAGGAGCCTGCACAGGGAGAAGGGATAGTGTGTGCCAGAAGTGATGGCACAGGGATCCCCTGGGACAGCTGGCTCAGGATGGTGCCAGTGGGGTCTGGGTGCTGCCAGGGTCTGCCCAACTGAGGGGATCACAGGAACTGTACCCCATCTATTCTCGGGTGTCAGAACTGGGGCAGGGGTCTCGCAGGGCTCAGCAGTGCTGGAGAGAAGGGTAGGCTGGAGGAGTGGGATTGGAGGGATGGAGGCAAGGGGTGGGCTGGGATGAGGTGGGTGCTTTCTCTCCAAGGAGGCTGGGGGGCTCAAGCCAGGAGCAGCTTCCACCCTGCCCAGGGAGTAGGAAGAATCGTCCGCCAGGAGAAAGAGCATGACCAAACAGGTGATGGAGAGTCTGGAGGATCTGTGAGATCTGGTAACATGGGCATGTGTGTCTCCCTGTGCCCTCCCCTATCCCTCTCCTGCTGGGCTCCAAGTGGGTGCTGTCCCTCCTCCCCTGCCTGTCCCTCTTCCAGAAGCCCCCATGGCAGCCCTGATCTGTGGTGCAGAGAGAGGAGAGGGTATCTCCAGATCCACCATCCCTGTTCATGTACCCTGTCAGCTGCACCAGGGTTGGGTAGTGCTAGACTGCTCCACACTTGAAAGGGGTGGTTTTCCCTTGGGAAATAAGGGGAAAACAGCCCAGACTCCTTTGCCTCTTCCCTGATGCCTGTATCCCCTTGACAGGGTCCTTCTCCACTCAGCCATTCCTTGCTGGCAGCAATCACATAGTCCCTGTGCTGAAGTTGTCACACGCTGAGGAAGATGAGGGTGTGTCATCCATGTGCTTTTAGTCCTTGTCCCCCTTTTCCTGTGCTCCATGTGTGTGGTGAGGACTGCTCATGTGTGGTGCTGTCTCCCAGGGCAGGACAGGCAGATCGTGCTCAACAATGACGACCTCACATATGACAGCATGGATGGAGAGGAGGATGACTATGATGAGGTCCCAGAGATGGACAGCTTGGAGCAGCCCACAGTGGATGGTGAGCTTCCCTGCACTCACCTGGCACTGAGAGCTAAGCTACTGGGGGAAACCATGGAGCTGCCCCAGGTTTTGCTGGGGAGGTGTCTTTACATCCAGCTGGGCAGTGCGTTCCTGTGCCTGGTTTCATCTGTCTGGAGGGATTTGGGATTTCCTGCCCTCTTGCTGGTACTTGGGAGGGTTGCACCTTTCCTATCACTGTGCTGCCCACACCATGCAGACCTTTTGCTCTATCCCTGTCACCAAAGCTGTCACCAGCAGTGATTGGTGGTGTGCTGGGCTGGTGGGAGCTGCTGCTCTGGCAGGTTTCCTGTGCTCTGGTCATGAGTCACAGGAGGGATACCAAAGGCCCCAGGAGATCAGGGAAGCCCCAGTGGCAGCAGCCTTTGGAGAGTCCCTCTATAATCCTTTCAAGGGGTGCTGTGGCCATCATGTCCCCACGCCACCTACCTCCCAGCTCTCTACTGAGAGCTGTCCCGGGCTACAGCTTGCCCAGAGTGGTGTCTCCTGTCCTCAATTCCAGCACTTGGGCAGAGCACAGAGAGTCTCCTCCAGCCAAACCCTTCCCATGCTCAGTCTTGCCCTTCTGGGGTTTCCCCTTCTCTGCCACGTGGGTCTGGCAGCCTCCACCGCCGGTGAGCTGCCAGCCCTGCCTGTCCTCACCAGCAGCGTTTGCCCTGCAGCCGAGCCCTGCGGGCTGCCGCTGGACGAGGGGCAGTGCCAGCGCTACACCCTGCGGTGGTACTACAACCAAAGAGTCTCCCAGTGCCGGCCCTTCGTCTACAGCGGCTGCCAGGGCAACCTCAACCGCTTCGACAGCAAGGAGGAGTGTGAGCTGCACTGTGGGCAGCAGCCGGGGGCAGGTACCGAGCTTGGCACAGCTGCTGGCACCAGCAGGCCCGGCAGCATCCCCACCTTGTGCATGCAGAGCTGGGGGGACAGTGCTGGTCCTGCCTCGGCTCTGACAGCCCCTTGCTTCTCTCCACAGATTCCCGTGGCAGTGCCGGCAGCAAGGTGGGAGAGCAGCCAAAGGTGTAGGTGCAGGCAGAGTCTGGGCAGGCAGGGCTGCCTGCAACTGGGGCCCAGCTGCTGCCCTGGCCGGGGCTGGGCTGCCCGTGGTGGCACCAGCCCCAGCAGGAACCTGGTGCTATTTCTAACCTGTCTTTATGCTGCTCATGGGTTTTTCATTTCATATCAGTTTATTGTCATTAAGGTGAAATTTATGTCAAATGGGAAACTGCCTCCCACCAAGGTTCTGAACCCCCTTTCCCACTAGGCTGTTCTCAGTTTGACTTTTAAATTATTTGTTGCCAACAGAATGGTTCTTAGCCCTGTTCCCTCTCTCTGGAAGCAGAGGTAGGACTTGGCATAGTTGGGCTCCCTCCCCTCCCATAATAGCCTTGTACCCTTTCCTGCCCCCCATAGGCCCCCAGACTCCCTCTCCACTCCCTGCTGGGAGGGCTGCCCACATCCTTGTGCCAGGCAGTGCCACCCTGCACAACATCCCCCACCCCCACCTGCAATGAGCTCCATCTGAATAAATTCCACCTTAACCTCAACTAGGGCCCAGTTCCCCTTTTGTGGCTGTGATGGTTTGGCAATGACCTGTGGGGAGACTGGAGTCTCTTGCCATGTGCTACCCTCCAGCTCACACGCCTGCCAGCAGCACTTCTGGCTTTAATCTGGGGGATCTCACCTGCACCCCTGGCCTGTCAGGGAAACCCTGAGGATGGTGCTATGTTAGAAGAGGTTCCTGCTCGCCCAGTTACTCTCAAAGGCTTTGTGAAAGTAATGTTGCAGCCACTGCTTCCCCCCATCCCCAGGGCTGAGTAGGGACTGACTGCCCTGCCCCAGAGCCCCAGGGCTGCTGGGTGGGCTGCTGGTGGCCCCCACACATACTGCTGTTCTCTGTGTGTATCTATATACAGCAAATGACTATGTGTACTAATGCAGGGGGGATGTGGATTAAAGCTGTGCTCACAGGGAGATGTCACACTTCTTGCCATGTTGCTGGGGATGCTGTGGAGTTTGGGGGCAGCTCTTGACTCAGGCATGCCCCCTGCCCCCCCTAGCCAGGCTGTCCTTTCCAGCTGCCCACAGCTGGCAGTGCTGGCTGGGATTCCTCACCCTTCCAGCTGCCCAGTGCCCCATCCCTGTGCCCAGCACGTGCCCAGCTGATGCAAGCCAGGCCATGACCCCCTGTCCAGGCCCTGACGTGTCAGCACGTGGGTCTGTGGTGCTGCATGATGTACTGTGTGAATCAGTGCTGCCAGCTAATTTTGGCTTCTGGGTGTGAGTTCCTGGCTGTCCCTGGGAGGAAGAACAAAGCTGGCATTATTTCTGTTCCCTGCTGTCCTGGGGAGGGTGGCACAGGATGGGTCACCCATCGGTTCAGACTACGAGGGTGGGCAATCCAGTGGTCTGAACCCTGGGCACCCTGACTCCTGGTCCTGGCCAGCTCATGGGGCTGAGCACCCACAACTCACCTCATGCAGTGCCCACCCAGCCCAAGAGCCTTGGGATGCTCCCACACTCCCTAAGGGGAACTTTGGAGCCAAGCCCTTGTATATGGGGCTCACCCCACAGCAATGCCTACAGGCTGCTACCCACCTTGGCAGCTGGCAGAGGGGCCTGGGCCAGGCTGGGCTGGTGCAGGTGCCTGGAAATCAGTGGTGTCCCAGTTGGAATGCATAAAAGTGAGCTGCAAGTCACTGCCTTCCTGCAAACCAGTGGCAAAAGCAGTGCTTGGGTTTGGCACAGCAGGGAGGTGACATGTCTCTAGGTATGTCCTCCACGTGGCCAGGGAGTCTGTCAGGACACAGTGCCAGACTGGTACCAGGAGCTGTCCAGGGGCCTTGTGAGTCACAATGCCCCGAGGTCTGCCCATGATCCTGGCAATATGCATGTTCTCTCCCTCCCTTAAGTGATTACCAAGCCTGACAGGAGCAGGGAGGTCTAATTAGATGGAGAAAAAACATCTTGCAAGTCAAACATGAAACAACTGAGATGTCCCAGGTTCCTGGAATCCCCTCCAAATGCAGCTGGTGGAGCTGCAAGGGGGCACACACCCACCCACATCCTGGGATGATTTCATCTGCCATTAGGCAAAATGTATTAAAAACATTTCCACACACCACCCCCCCGCCACCTTCCCCCTGTCACTGTCACCCCCTCTGCGGGTCAGAGGTGGAGCTGGGACAGGATAAGAGCCAGGGCTTGGCAGGGAGCAGAGTAAATGCCCAGATTGTGGTCCCTGCACCCTGGGAGCACTGCCTGAACATCGAGGAGACAAGGACCTGCTGCAAATGGTGAGGCTGTGCCCTCAGCGGTGCTTTTCGGGGGCTTTTAGCTGGGCAAGAGGTTGCAGGGGGTTAGATGCTTTTCATTCCTAATTTTGCAGCGAGTTAACCACCCCTGGCTGCCTATTCTGGTACTCTCCAAAGGGCTTCACCCCAGAGATACTCTGCTGGGTGACTGATTTTGGAGAGAGGCAGCTATATAGCAGGATTTGTGCACCTGCTCTGACCCCCACCCCACATCCCAGCACCCTGACCCCCACCCTGTAGCACAGCATCCTGCAATCCCTGGGGCTTCCCTGTGACCAGGGTGAGGGAGGGGGTGGACAAAGTTGCTGAGGCTTGACACAGCTCAGGGCCTGTGGCCACTCTCCCTTCCCTGTCACCTCAACGTGACTAATATGCTGTGTATTTTAGTCCAAGTGGCTCGTGTCCCTCTTTGGTGGGTGGCTTTTGCCCCAAAGAGCCCAGCAACACAGTGGGGAATGGCATCTGCCAGGGAACGCATGGGAGGAAGAATGCTCCACTGCCTGCCCAGCCCTGAAACCCCAGCCCTGAAACCCTGGCCAAAGGGCAGGAATGGGTTGGGGAGCAGCCACAGTACCCTGGCAGGCACCCTCCTGAGCAGGATTGTCTCCTTCCCTGGGGGACAAAGGCATGAAGGGTGTGAAATGGAGGGCATGGCTAGCATCTGGCCAGGGGCTGTGTGAAAGGACAAGGACACCCAGGTGATTTGCTTCCCATTTCCCCTTCAGCCTCCCCAAGGTGGAATAATGAAGGGCTCCTGAAAGGAGGGTGAAGCCCCACCAGCTGGTGAGGGAGTGGGGGGGCTCTGTGGGTGACACCCTGGTGGGGATGTGTCCTGCCTGGGGGGCTGTGGGGCCGTGGCAGGGTGATGGGGGTGATGCCAAGCCACATGCTCCCCGCAGGCTCCCCTGGCCACACTGCGAGGCAGGATGCTGCTCTCCTTCCTGCTGCTCCTGGGGACACCAACAAGGGCCTGGAAGGGACCGAGCCGTGAGTGGCTCCCACCAGCCCCCCAGGCTGTGGATGGAAGGAAGCTGATGAGGCAGGACAGCACCAGCCCTAGCAAGATGCTGCCAGATCCCTCCAAAGTGAGGAGCGGTGACGATGGCTCTGGAGCAGAGTCTCATCCAGCTGAAGCCAGCCTGCCACTGCTAGAGGGACCAGAAAGACAAACAGTGCCCTGGCTGATGAGCCCAGCCACCAAGAGAGCGGCTCCCAGGAAAAAGGGGAGGAAGTTGTCCTTGTCATTCGATGTCCACACTCACTTACTGAAAATCCTGCTCGACCTGGCCAGAGAGAAGGAACTGCAGGCCAAGGCGGCTGCCAATGCCGAGCTGATGGCCCGCCTGGGGCGCAGGAGATAAGCTGTCCTGGCTGGCATCTAGCAGGGCTGGAGAGGGCAGCGGGGCTGCCAGGGCACTGGTAGAGGGAGGCATGGAGCAGCACTGGTGTGTGTGCAGGGCACTGGACATGGCACCTCATCCCCCTGGTCCCAGTGCTCATGGCACAAGCAGCAGCCGTGGGAGGATTTGATTTAATAACTCTCACCTCAGCACCATTGGAGAAGACACAGCTGGGTTTACCTTGGCCAGTGCTTGAGCACAGCTGGTCCCAGCCCCCGGCACTACAGGGATTTCTAAGCTTGGCTTTGCTCCCTGCTCATCCACCACCTAGATGTCTCCAAAGGGGCTGCATCCAGCCATGCAGTTTTTCCTGGGTGCTTCTTCTCTCTGGGTGACTGAAGCACACAAAATCCTCCACAAAGCTTGGCCAAGCCTCAAAGCTGGAATTTTGAGTGAGCATGCACAATAAAATGTGGCATCAAACACAACTCATGCTTTATATTTGTTCTGCACCCCTTTACACACCCATTTTGTGTTCCCTTTCCCCAGAGATACTGTGAGAGCACGTGCTCAGCTAGGGCCAGCATGGGGGGTCATTAAATTCCACACAAGGGGTGTCAGACCTTGCACCAACAGTGGAGCTGGCCCAGGGAGCCCACAGCAGCTCTGGGCCAACAAGGAAACTGTCTTGTGCCACTGGAGCTGCTGCTTTCAGCACAGCTGGGAGATAAGAGCAGTGCAGTGCAGAGTGCGGCCGCCCTGTGCAAAGTACAGGGTGGTGCAAGCAAGGCTGAGGCCGGGAGACACCTGCAGGGGGGCCACTGGAGCTGGTGGGGGACACGGCCATGCTCTTCGAAGACTACCTGCTGCAGGGTGAGTGAGCCCTTGCACTGTGGATTGGGCAATGGCTTTGGGAAAGGGGCAGAAGCAGCTGGGGTGACCCCACATCCCATGGAAAGGACAGATTTCAGGAAGGGATGTGCCAGCAGATGGTGGGTTTGGGTGAGGTGGCAAGGTGGATAAAAGGTTTTTTGCTATCCCTGCCTGACCTGAGGCTCAGATGATGCCTGGCCCCTTGAGATACCCCCCTGAACCCCCTGGGTGTGTGCTGTGGGGCTGAGCCCGAGTTTGTGGGCCAGGGTAGAGACAGGGTGCTGGTAGCAGTGGGGGACAGGGGTTATAGGAAGACCTGCCAGAGCTGGTGCATCCAAGTGAGACACTCCAGGGCAGGCAGCCTGAGTGACAACTGTCCATCCTGCAGAAGGGAGTTCCTCCCTGCCACTTCCAATTGTTCTTGCGATGCTGAGCCTGTGAGGATCTCCTTTCCATGTCCTGCCACAGTGTCTCATCTGTCCTCCCCGAGACCCAGTGTGCCCCTACGCTTCAGCCCATCTGTCCCTAGTGCCCCCTCACCTCCGCAGTGCCCTTCCCCTGCCCAGCTCAGGGGTCCCAGTGCCAGCCCCCATCACCAGTGTTTCGCTGGTACCAGTGCCTCCTGCCCCGGGCCGTGTGCTCTCCACAGCCCAGCTGCTACGAGCAGTGTCCCGGTGTCCCCAGGGCTGCCCCAGCACAGCACCGAGCAGTATCCCGGTGTCCCCGCAATCCCGGTGTCTCCCGCAGTCCCGGGATCCCCGCTGTCCCGGTGTCCCCGCAGTCCGATGTCCCCCGCAGTCCCGGTGCCTCCGCTGTCCCGGTGTCCTCGCAGTCCCGGTATCCCCGCTGTCCCGCTGTCCCCCGCAGTCCCGGTATCCCCGCTGTCCCCGCAGTCCCGGTGCCCCCGCTGTCCCGGTGTCCCCGCTGTCCCCCGCAGCCCCGGTGTCCCCGCTGTCCCCGCAGTCCCGGTGCCCCCGCAGTCCCGGTATCCCCGCTGTCCCCGCAGTCCCGGTGCCCCCGCTGTCCCGGTGTCCCCGCTGTCCCCGCAGTCCCGGTGCCCCCGCAGTCCCGGTATCCCCGCTGTCCCGCTGTCCCCCGCAGCCCCGGTATCCCCGGTGTCCCCGCTGTCCCGGTGTCCCCGCTGTCCCGGTATCCCCGTTGTCCCGCTGTCCCCCGCAGCCCCGGTGTCCCGCTGTCCCCCGCAGCCCCGGTGTCCCGCTGTCCCCCGCAGTCCCGGTGTCCCCGGTGTCCCCGCTGTCCCGGTATCCCCGCTGTCCCCCGCTGTCCCCCGCAGTCCCGGTGTCCCCCGCTGTCCCCCGCAGTCCCGGTGCCCCCGCAGTCCCGGTGCCCCCGCTGTCCCGGTATCCCCGCTGTCCCCCGCTGTCCCCCGCTGTCCCCCGCTGTCCCGGTGTCCCCAGGGCCGCCCCTGCCCGCTCCCCTCAGCG